GCATAAATTATTGAGGATTCTAACATTATACGAGAATTCAATTAAACGACTCTTCATTATTTTGCTCATGTCAGTACGAAAGTGTTTACTAAGAATTCCAATTGAATAACAAGAATATTATCAGCTCGCGGGCATGTTTATTACATTGCTTAGGGGTGGCCTCCAATTCGACCCTTGTTCAAGCCTGCGCAGGGGGTGATCAAGCTCTCTATCATTCTGGGGTCAGCGTACTGGTTCCACATTTAACTGCGAAGAAACACTAACGTGATACATCGCTATGATGCCTCAAGTCATTGTACAGAGTGAACATGCCTTCAATCACCTCTATGATGCTACGAATAGATCTTAACCTTTTCGTTTACTGCCTATTATCTTTAACGGTTGGCTATTTTGCCAAATATAACTACTATAATGCCGAGATATTTGCAAAACTCCAGACAGCAGGAGTGCCTGCGGGGAGTAACGCGTTCACCATCACACCATGCAGGTCCTTCGTTTCGCTCCGTCTCTCAGATAGTTTTTTCGATCTTTTACCATCAGCAATCACCCGTCAACGGGATTGATCTATGGAGTCCAAATCGGCATTGAACCCAGTTAAGCTGAGGCTACAGTTATAATCACAATCCTAACCTTTGTAATGATTGTGGTTGCTGATGGCAAAAGATTGATAGAACTAGCTGAGAGACAGGCGAAACGAAGGATCCGCATAGTGTGGTGGTGAACGGGTTACTCCCGGGAAAGGGCAATAACGCGTTCGTTCCACACCGCAGACAGCTGCGGTCCGGAGTTTTGCAAATATCTCAGCATTCTAGTAGCTACGAATAGAGCTCAACAAGGCGCATTGCACAAGGATATCCTTTATCCTGGTCGTCGTTGACTGTTCTTTTCTCCTTTTTATCCTTTTTATCGACGATTTCATTTTATTCGACTGATGAGCTGTCACTAAGCACGCTATTATGTACCACAGCTCTTCACTTTCGTTGTTTTCATCGGAGAAGCATCGCTTCGGAAAATAAGAATTTCAAGTGTTTGTGAGCACTAACATCTAGGAATTTCGCGGTTTTGATGAAATATTATACTGCAAATATTATCATGAATAACAGAAAGTCAGGGTGCGCGTGGCGCAGTGGTCGGAGTCGCCCTACAACACACACTTAGGATCGAACCCCACGTCAGTGGCCCACCATGCCTTCCATCCTTCCGGGGTCGGTAAATTGGTACCAGAGTTGTCTGGGAAGTTAAAATCCTTTGATTTATCAGCATTGATTTTGACATGAACTCCATCAAAAATGGAAAAACTCGCCTCTCTATATTCTTTAGGTAATATAAATAATTTCAAATATATCGAAACAAGTACTGATTCAATACATCGGTAGGCCACCGCGTGTCATTGTAAAAGTCAGATATGCATTGAATCACCTCCAAACGATAGTTAATGAAGTAGAGTGCATGGGGCATCCCTCAGGGTTTAACCAGCGCCGAGATCTTTATCCTTTTTTTTAACAGAAGGACGCAACTTATGTGCAGCGAAAGAGGAAATCTTTCTTCTTGAACGCCCTCTTTTTCTGACTTTCCTGTCTTTCTTACAGTAAGCTTCACTAATTTCTGTAATCAAAGACAGTTTTGAGTCGACCACCATAAGATTAATTGAGCAGTCGTTTCCTACTAGTTGTGCCACTCCAGCTAAATCTCCATTTGTTTTGTTCGGTCGCCTTTTGGTTTATAGGTCCGCTTCTTGTATGGTGACAATAAGTGTTATTCTGTGCCTCATAATTTATGTATCGAAGCGCTAATGCAGCCGACTGATGTGAACTGCGTTTCCGCCCACGCTATAGCTGAAAACAAGGCTCACTATTCGAAATGTTGAGGGAAGAAGTCTGCGTTCGTCAGTTGCTCCGTGGTTTATTTAAGATTCGAACATCATCTCTGCTGATCTTTATCTTCTATACAACTTCCTGCTCACGTTATTCACCCTGTTAATTGAACGCCTTAGTTACACTAATGCTTAAGACTTATTGTATGTTATTGACGACCATGAGGCATGTAGTGCAGTGGCAGTGATTCCGATCTTCATAAGCACGGTGCTGGTTCAATCTTGCTCTGGCCTCACCAAACCTCTCATCTCTCCTGAGTCGGGAAACTTGTACTAGACTTGTCTTAGAGAAGCCCACTCTCTGCAATCCAACTGGGAACGCTCTAACCCAGCCATCTCAGGACTCCAGGGTGAATCGACTCGACCAGCATTTAACGACATTGAAATGAAAGGAAAATCCTCAAGAAGCTGTCAAAGCCAGACGTAAAAGTTGGAAGCCTTTCGTGGATGATGGAAAAAGAATCAAATGCAAGAAGTGCTGAGATCCGTGCTGCACATGTGAAAGACGGGTCGTGTAAAAAAATTGGCGAGCAGTCCATCTTAAGGATTTCTCCATATATTCAGAAATTATTTTCTGTGGACTAGGTCTATCATGCGTAGTCTAGTAATTATCAGTGTTTTCTTGAACCCCTTTAATATAATCTGTTCTTACTATATCTTCGAGAGATAACGATGTAATTAGAGCAAAAGACTAGTACACATATCGTTCTCACTCAAATCGGGCAAATTAACTAATCCTGCGGTGCTTAAAGACTTTGAGGATACTGTGTCGCGAGAAGCAGTAAGTGGTACCTCCGAAAGACTTCTATTACCGTAGCTAAGCAACATATGTGGATCACAGAGCACAATTCAAGTAGAAGTCATAGTGTCAGCCATACTATAATTTTCGTGAAGGTCACTATAGAGCACACTCGACTAGCAAATCGGGCGACAGCTGTGTGGGGACCTTATCAATAATCGTTCCTCTCCAATGTGACAGTCCACAGTGTCCACCACCAGTCTGGTATCCCTTACTTCTGGAGCCCACTCTCACCTAAGCTACAAAAGGCTGTTTCCAACTCGCAAGAATTCGGCTTTGACGTCACCTACTCCATGGTCAGTGCATTTTTTCGCGTCCTTCTTCACAACTCAAGCATAAAAGTATTCGAGACGTTTCTTCCAAAGTGAGGATGTTGCCGCCTGTTAACGGACCGGATAATGAAAAGCTTCTGGAGTATGGTTTGTTCGATATTTTTTCACCTCATTACAACGAGAACAGGTGTAAAGTTCCTTATTCGTTCAATAGCATTGATAGCTGTGTTGCAGGTGGGTTCGACAAAATTCTTCTGCGGATGTGTTCTTTCTAGACAATTCTCATATTCACAGACTGTTTTCCTATTTCCTTTTTTGAGAAATTAATTTACATGTAACGAACGTGATGCTTGTTTTGACATTTTTTCAGAACTTCTTTATCCAGTTTTATCCACTATCCACTTGTTTCGTTTTCGTCATTTGTAATCTCATTAATTATCAAGAGCAAGCATGAGTGAAATCCCTATCCATCACTGTCATGTCACTGGCCAGTGTTGCTTAGTGACATAGCCGCTCTGAGTAGGTAAACCCTTGAAATGATATTCCTTCGTTATAACCACAGTCTTAGCCTTTTTATTTACTGCCTGCTCTTTTTAATGGCAGGGTATGTTGTGAAATATAACTTCTATGATGCTGAGATATTTGCAAAACTCCGGACCGCAGGTGTCTGCGGTGCGGAACGAACGCGCTAAAAATTGTAGTAGGCAGCAAATAAAAAGTTAATATTGACGTTTTAAATTTGAAAATTTTGACGCCATTATAATTACTTATATAATTTTTAAGCGATTTCATCCGGTTTGTTTTTAACATTATTGATTGGAGTTTTTCGACCCACCGGTGTAACGGTGGGTATTTCGTTAGGTCTTAAGAAAAGAACATGGAATTTGGCGTTGCTTGACGGAAAAGATTTTAATTCTTCCTCGTTTTCCTCTTGTTCTTTTCACCGTCTTTCATTTTTAAACATAATGACTGGAATACTCCTGTAGAGAATTCTATTCGTGTTTCCTGTTCATCCTTCTACTTTTCCTTTTCCAGGTCTTGGTCATACTGCTGTTCATAGCGTTGACAGTACTGATAAAAGTCGAAGAAATACCCGTTCATAGGAAAACACGGAGACAGTAAATGAACGACTTTAAATACAAAGACTTCGGCTCACTGTATGCCATATCCCGAAGATATCTGGCACCATGGCGTCTGGTCAGCTACCTGGCTGGTCTCTTTCTACTTTGTTTCATTTGAATTCGTTCTAGCTGTAATTGTTTGGCCGATTGTTGTTTGAACTGCGCTCTTTTTGTTCACTGAATCAACCGCTATGTTGTTTGCATAGAAGATCGTAGCTATTAATCCAATCATTAGACCGACAACGATGCATAGAGCACATTTCTTTTGGAAACACGGACCTCAAAGCAAACACATCAAATCCAAATCGCAACGCGAAGAGTTCTGGTGGAAATTTCTGTTTTTTACTAATATTATTGATTAGTATTTACAAATATAGCCACTAGGACATCTTTTAGAGGATTCTATTCCTATCCACTAACAACCACTTATCCTATTTTCATTGGCGTCACCATGTCATAGTGGCCGGAGAGATAAACCTGGGTGTCGAACTGCCATGTACAGCGAGATATATTCCCCTAATGGGGTCACCCAAGCTGACAAGAATTTCGAAATTTTTAACTGGAATCCCATATAGTAGCAAACCTATTCCACAGATGAGCTCGGCGAATTTCCCGTTACTACATCAGCGTCAATACCGGTAGAAAGCAGGACGTGATAGCAAAAATAAGAAGCAATTGATGTCCCTTGTTCCAGCGTGCTCCACTGGGTAGGTAGTTTAACACTTTCACATACTACCAAAAAGTGCTGCCCAAATAGAGTCTAGTGTATAATTTTACTTGGAATATGGGTTTAAACAACCGATGAATAAGTCACAGTCTTACCATTCGTTAAAAATCCGGAAAGAATTGATAAATCCAGAAAACGTGGACGAGGATTGGGGTCCAGAGCGACGTTGTAGCATCGACAATGTGTTTTGTCACCGTTATCTCAAGCGATGCGAGATTGTGAAATTTTGGAAGTGGAAATTTTTACACTTGAGATAGGTTTTCGCTCAGTGGAGCCTGTGTTCCATGTGCTAGTGAGTGGTTTTTAGATAACCTTAGTTCTTCAAGTGACTTTCGTACGCTCTATTCTACGATGGGCATATTTCTTGGCTGATCTGCTGCTTTGAAAATTTTGCTTTGAAAAAAAATTTTGGAATTTTTCATATTATGTTCATATTATGTGCGATGTTTGGTCCTTCCTCTCAACCTAAGCCCAATGGTGGAGCCGTGTACCGGGAAACGAAGAAAGCAGTAAAGATTTAGGAACGTATTCATCCACTGTTGTGGTTAAACAGTCCCCTTCTTTTGGAAGAAGGGGAAGAGGGAGTATTCAGGTCTAGTTATTGTCGGGAAGTTGCTGTCATTTCTACGTGAGTATTGCACTAGTTCATTCCATCTGCTTTCAGAGTGTCTCACTATCGGGTGATGCCGTCAGCGAACGGAGTATTATCAAAACTGTTATGCTCGTGCTACAAATCGAAAGAGTCGCGGAAAATCAATGACGATCAGGAAACTGATCGCTATGACGTTCCAGGCAAAGAGGAGTCCAGGGAACCGTTACGGAAATCCCTACCCAAGCCGGAGAACGGCGGTCGTGAGACGGAGGTTTTGGCAGAGGAGGTGACTGCGCCCATCGTCGAGGAGATCTACAATGATCAGGTACGTCCCTATTTTTTGAAGCTATGTTTCCATTGGTTGCAAAGTATATAGCGTTTTTAGTGTACTAATATGGGATTGTCAATATGACATATCAGTATCAAATAAGACCGTATAAAATTCACTATGATCATTAGAAAAAGAGACCAGGATATTAACGATGGATTAGGTCTCATACCCCAGCATAGAAAGAAATGTAGTATATTTATTTATATGACCTTATAAGCTGATCTTCTTTAGTTGATGCGAGGTTGGTATAGGTCTTCGTTGTCGTTGTCGTTGTTGTTGGTGTTGTTGGTCGATGGCTGACGTTTCGGCCATTTCGCCTTCCTCAGAGCAATGATGTTACGAATGGGACTCCACTCGATGTGTCCCAATCCACTCGAAGACCTAGACGAACCTCGAATCAGCTAAGGAAGATCAATCTATAAGATTATATAAATAAATATATCAACTATCTATGCCGAGGTTTATAGAAATTCGGTCTTTTGAGTTAATAAGAAATGCAGTAACCATCCAGAAAAGTGCAGTGATAACCGCGATGTCCTGCATTAAAAAGTTTGTGAACATTGTAAAGATCATTGTTCGGAGTAAGTTTCTAGTGACTGCCTAACATCACTCAACATTTTCAGTCTTGGGTGTTATCACGAAGATTACTCACAAGAAGGCATTATTACTCTACTGGACACTGTCAACACTGCTGCTGAGATATTTGCACAACTCCGGACCATAGGTGTATGTGGTGGGGAACGTGCGTGCTATTGCCCTTTCTGGACCTTAACGCTTTCATCATCACACAATGCGGGTCCTTCGTTTTGGCTTCCTCTCAGCTAGTTCAATCGATCACTTGCCATCAGCAATAACCCGTCGGCGGGATTGATCTGGAGAGCCGAAATCGGCAATGAACCCAGTTAAGCTGAGGCTGCAGTTGAAATCACAATGCTAACTCTTTACTTTTCTATATTTTTATTTTTTATTTTCTTTACTTTTTATTTTCATTGTGGTTTCAACTAAAACCTCAGCTTAACTAGGTTCAGTGCTGATTTAGGCTCCTCAGATCAATCCCACTGACAGGTGATTGCTGACGGCGCTGATCAACAGAACTAACTGAGAGACAGGCCAAACGAAGGACCCGCATGGTGTGGTTGTGAACGCATTAGTCCTTGGAAAGGGTAATGGCTCGTTCGTTCCTCACCGCAGACACCTAGTGACTGTATTTAAGGAAGGGTGAACTTCGGTTCTTTAATTAGATCCACACCTGATAACCTATTTGAAGTAAATAACTGGGTTTTAAATAGAGATTCTATTAGTGGTGCGTCTTCGCGTGTGCCGACTTTGTCAAGTTGTGGCACTGTTATTTCGGACAAAAGCCCTAAAGGACAGGGAATCATTAAACAAGCATGTTTAGAAAAATAAGTAAGATTTCGAAGCCGTTTTCGACATCGAGAGCGTTCACCATGGCTAATGCGGTTTTCTTTTAAAAATGCCATTCATCAGCTATGGCCATTTTTGGTGTTGCTACTGCACGAAGGTGAGATTCTATCAAAACTGTGCATATTGATTGATTAGAGTGTTGTTAGGTGCCTTTTGTTCATTCGAAGAAAAGACGACATCATCATCGTAACGAGGTCATCACAACGCTCGGCAGAGATGCGCTCCTTGCTGAAAATCGGTCGAAATCATATTTGATTCACTATCAGCTCTCTATCAGTGCGTTCAGTAGTTATCGATTAGTTATCATTTCGCTATCGCTGCGTTCAGTAATTATTGAACAGTTACCAGCTCATTATCAATGCGTTCAACAGTCATCGATTAGTTCTACCCTTTCCACTACACTACACCAAGTGCTTAACTCGATAATTAGCTGTTCAAGTTCTAGAATTCTCATGTTTCTTCAGTCTTCTTACGATTGCGGATTCAGTGGGTCATATTTTGCTCCTAACAATTTTTTACTCACCTTTTCTATCCTGTAGTAATGTTTTCAACCTGTTCTGTGTTTCTCATCGTAAGAGATTCAATCGGTGTCCGTGCATATTTTCACCACTGAAATTTGTTGACTTTTCGTGGTTATCGAGGTCGAATGGGGTTAAACACCTTTGAAAAGGAAGGTATTCTTCTTCAACAAAACTTTTGCACCTTTCAGCATTGTACTGTTTCTATTCTGCTCTTTTTCATTGTATAACAATTATCGCTTAAGGATCGTCCTTATTTTACTACTTCTTCACCAAATTTCTTGAAGAACGACCTTAAACGCTTGGTAGAACCGATCTTTGATAAAATAGTTTTCACTAGCTTTCAACGAGTTCTGCAAAACCATAGCCACGTTAAAATCTCGACACATTACTGAGAGCACCTGTTTCGATTTTTGCTTTCGTTCATTCCTTTTTAACTTCGTTTTATAATCGTCTATTAAGTCCTAAATCAGTGTAATAGAGAAGTGGTCGCAGTGGTGTGTCAGTTCCGATGTTGCTTGACAGTCTCTCGTCTTTTTTCTTAATCGACGTATTGAATCCTAGTCGGGCGTGGTTCTCTCTGGAATTCCAGAATCACTGTGCTGACGAGTTCCAGGTCACCACCGCAGGTAGTCGACGGTCGTTCTGAATGGAAGATTTGCTGCCTTGTTCCTACAATTCATCTAGGATAATGACCATATTTGTTTGTTAGTCGACCGATCGAGGCATATGCAACGTCTGTCAAACTTAGATAATAATCCAGCCCTGTCATTTGTGGATAATACTTCCTGGGTCATCTGAAGATTGAGTAGTAGAGGCATTCATTTAGAAGGGCCCTGAGATTTCAGTGTGTGAATACAGGGCTACAAAACGCCATAAATGACTCAGATTGTTGTTAGCATTGTGTTTATCTAGATGTCACTCCAATTCTAATACTAGGCGACGATGCAGTTATATCGACGAGTTAATTTATTCCAACTCATGAATGTTTGGCCAACTCCAAATAAGACTAAGACTAAATAAGACTTGCAGAAATTGGTTGCGCTGCAATACTCCACTTAAGATTCCATCAATGGGTCCTCTTAGTCCTCAAAGAGCTTCAGTTCGTTCGAATCCGATGAAAGAGACTTACTGAAAAAACCTATGGACTCTTCAGTGTTTGAACAGGAAAGGGAGACGTCTTAGGGCGTGGTTTGTCATGAGGTGCTAAGCCCATACATTAGTTTCAAACGTTTTCCTAGTTTGTGACGTTGCTGTATTTCTACCCTTCATCGTTTCTTCTTTATTTTTTACCTTCTTTCTTTTGCGCTCTCCTTAGAATCCATACCAAACTTTAAAATGTGTTTATTTATTTTTTTATTTGTGGCATGCTATCAAGGAAAAAAAAAGGAAGAAGGTAAAAGTCATTCGAGAAGATGGCTCACTGAGGATGACCTGACTCGACACGAAGGCGAAGCTGCAACGTCGAGACGAACAACAAACATGGACCATCGACTCGGATCATCGGCTCTGAGGAAGATGAAGATGTCGAAACGTTAGCCGAAAATAAATAAATATCATTATCAACCTCGTGTAAGCTCATCAAAGAAAGAATACATATATCAAGGAACTCTTTATCGTGGGGTACAACTCAATTAGATCGATGAATAGGGCCCGTTATGATGGCTCACAATTCCAGAGAGATTTACCTCGTTGTTGAACGTGTGCATCGCCGGTGCTATCTGAGGAGTCATTGTATAAAGTAATCCACGACTTTAACTCACACCTCCATGACATAGACGACGGTTTATCTTCATGTGAAGAAGATGAATATGTCCCTCAAATGGTTTTTCTACTCGAGATTTTACATCCTTACTCATCGATAAGGAACCGTACAGCATCTGGTCGCGATAGGACAACACCTAAAAATTTGGAGAACGTACAGAAATCCTCATCATTACAATGGCCATGCCCTTCATCGCTATTGAGAAACCAAAATGATTGTTCTGCAAGGTAGTGATTTAGAACTCCTTAATTGAGTTCATCTAACCAAGGTTTGGTGAGGGTTGGCCTAAGAACAGCAATGCGAGCAAGCAAAGCTTCAGAGAGGCTTCAGCTATAGATCGAATCCGCACGATATAAACCTGTCAAAGGAATGCTTTATCCTCACTCTAATTCAGTTAGAATAACTCGACTAACTTAGCACAGAAATGATCATAGAAACTTTGGGCCTTTAATCAGTTTCTTCTCTGGATGAAAAATTCTTTATATAGAAATTCACTAACCATGGAAAAAGAGTTACACATTTCTACAACGATTTCTTATCGGTTTAAGAAACGGAGTTTGACATGACAACATTGCTTCGCTGGAACTTAGAGCTACTCCCAGGAAGGTCATGCGGAAAGTGGAGAGGAACAACATGGAAGCGAAAGTTAGTAGGCAAATATTAATCTGATAGAGCAATACCCCGTCCTTGTTTAATGGTACAAGCTAAGTAATGAGCTTTCGGTAGGCCGTCTGAGAATAGTAATAATTAGAAGAGGCTTCGTTGAAGCTTCAGTTATTTTTGAGGCGAACATAATGTGTAGCTGCGCCGAGAGTTCAGCATGATGAGCACTTCAAATCTGAGCAGGAAATGGTTAACGATATGTTGTGAGACCATGTGAGAGCAGACGTCTAGTTTACAAAGAAGGGAACAGCTATCAGGCTGTTATACCTCAAAAACTTGCATGTTACGTAACCCATATGAAGAGGCAGGCAATGCCATTGGGCACATTTTCGAGAGTGTGACTCTAGGAGTATTCAGTATCGCGAATGTAAAAGAGGAGATCTAAAGTTCCTTCCGATGTTCATCACCGTTCAAACATCACCGTCGTAATCTTTTGTGCAAGTATCATGGACTTCTTAGCGAAACTATCATGACGATCCTTAACAAAGAATATGATATTTCTGACAACATTTAGGAGAGAAAAGCCTGGTGAGGAACTCTAGCACACAGAAGTAAACAGTAGAGACTTTGTTGCAGGTTGTTTAATAATAATTAAGGCGTGATGATTCAGCTGGTTTAGAAATAATATTAGAACTCATGGACGTAAAAAGGGCTCATGTGGCGCAGTGGTTGGA